TTTGCCTTCCAGGCTCTGTTCAAATGCCACCTCCTCCTTGGAGCCTTCCCTGACCCGCCAGGCGGAAGTATTTTATTATTCCTTGACACTCCCAAAGCTTGTGGCTTTTATTTAGCACAAATTTTATTTGGCTCACACAGTAGCTAGTAGTTTCCATTTGTCTCTGTCACTCCACTGTGAGCCTTTGAGGGCAGGGGCTGTATTTTAACAGTTTGTCATGGTGGACTTTGGAGTCACACAGACCTGGGTTCAGTTCAGGCTCTACCACCTATTGGCTGTGTGACCTCAAGCGGAGCTTGGTTTTCTTCCTTGTTTAATGAGCTAATACTCGGAGTCATCTCAGAGTGTTGTGAGGCTCAGAGTAAGCTCACAATAATTGTTCGTGCTTTTTTTTTTATTGTGGTAAAATATACGTCACAAAAAATTTGCTCTTTCAATCATTCTTTAGTAAAATTCAGTGACATTACACATTCTTCATGCTGTGCAACCATCACCACCATCTACTTAAGAAAAAAAAAAACACCCCAAACAGAAACCCAGTATCCCGTAAGGAATAACGCCTCATTCCCCCCTCACCCCACCCCGATAACCACTGATAAACTTTTGTCGCTAAGTATTTCCTGTTCTAGATATTTCATATAAGTGGAATCATATGGTATTTGTCCTTTTGAGTCTGACTTACTTCACTTGACATGATCTTTTCAAGGTTCATCCATATCATCGCGTGTATCAGAACTTTATTTCTCTTCAAGGCTGACTAACAGTCCATTGTGTGGATATACCACATTTTGTTTATTCATTCATCTGTTGATGGACACTTGGGTTGTTTCCATCTTTTGGCTATTGTGAATAATGCTGCGATGAGCATTGGTGGACAAAATCTGTTTGAGTCCTTGCTTTCAAGTCTTGAGTATACACCTAGGAGTGGAATTGCTGGTCATGTGGTAATTCCATTGTTAACCTTTTGAGGAACTACTGAAGTGTTTTCCATAGTGGCTCCACCATTTTACATTCCCACCAGCAATGGATGAAGTTTGCAATTTCCTCACATCTTCGCCAACATTTGTTGTTTTCTGTTTTTCTGATACTAGCCATCCTAGTGGGTATGAAGCAGTATCTCCTTGTAGTTTGATTTGCATTACCCTAATGACTAATGATGTTGAGCATCTTTTCCATGCTGGTTGGCCATTTGTATACCTTCTCTGGAAGCATGTCTGTTTATTAGCCCTTCCAAATAAAAATAGTTATTAGCCCTTATTAATAATAATAATTCTTATACCTCTTTATTTAGCAGTATCCAGCCTGGGGCTTTTCACTTACTAAGTTCTTAATAAATTTTTGTATTTATTATTCTTATTGTGGAGCCCTGGTGGTGCAATAGTTAAGAGTTCAGGCTGCTCAACATATCAAAAAATAATTCACCAAGATAAAGTGGGATTTATACCAGTTATGCAGGGATGGTTCGACATTAGAAAAACAATCAATGTAATCCATCACATTAATAAAACAAAAGACAAGAACCACATGATCTTATCAATCGATGAAGAAAAGGCATTTGACAAAGTCCAACACCCATTCATGATAAAAACTCTTGACAAAATAGGAATAGAAGAGAAATTCCTCAACATAATTAAGGGCATTTATACAAAGCCAACAGCCAACATCGTTCTAAATGGAAAGAGTTTGAAAGCATTCCCCTTGAGAATGGGAACCAGACAAGGATGCCCTTTATCACCACTCTTATTCAACATTGTGCTGGAGGTCCTAGCCAGAGAGCAATTAGGCTACAAGAAGAAATAAAGGGCATCCAAATTGGTAGGGAAGAAGTCAAAGTATCTCTATTTGCAGATGATATGATCTTATATACAGAAAACCCCAAAGAATCCACAAGAAAACTACTGGAACTAATAGAAAATTTCAGAAAAGTATTAGGATACAAGATAAACTTACAAAAACCAGTTGGATTCCCTACACCAACATAGAGAACTTCGAAGAGGAGATCACCAAAGGAACACCATTTACAATAGCCCCCAAGAAGATAACATACTGAGGAATAAATCTAACCAGAGACATAAAAGACCTATACAATGAAAACTACAAGACACCACTGCAAGAAACCAAGAGAGACCTGCATAAGTGGAAAAACATACCTTGCTCATGGATAGGAAGACTCAACATTGTGAAAATGTCAATTCTACCCAAAGTGATCTACAGATACAATGCAATCCCGATCCAAATTCCAACGGCATTTTTTATTGACATGGAGAAACAAATCACCAAGTTCATACAGAAAGGGAAGTGGCCCCGGATAAGTAAAGCATTACTCAAGAAGAAGAACAAAGTGGGAGGCCTCACATTATCTGATTTTAGAACTTACTATACAGCCACAGTAGTCAAAACAGCCTGGTACTGGTAGAACAACAGATACATAGACCAACAGAACAGAATTGAGAACCCAGACATAAATTCATCCACCTGTGAGCAGCCGATATTTGACAAAGGCCGAAAGTCTGTTAATTGGGGAAAAGACAGTCTCTTTAACAAATGGTGCTGGCATAACTGGATATCCATGTGCAGAAAACTGAAACAAGACCCATACTACCATGCACAAGAACTAACTCAAAATGGATCAAAGACCTAAATATCAAATCGAAAACGATAAAGCTCATGGAAGAAAAAACAGGGACAACGCTAGGAGCCCTAATACACGGCATAAACAGAATACAAACCATAAGTAACAATGCACAAACACCAGAAGGCAGACTAGATAACTGGGAGCTCCTAAAAATCAAACACTTACGCTCATCAAAAGAGCAAAAAGACAATCTACAGACTGGGAAAAAAATTTTGGCTATGACAAATCCCATCAGCATCTAATCTCTAAAATCTACAAGATACTGCAAAACCTCAACAACGAAAAGACAAATACCTCGATTAAATCTTGGGCAAAGGATATGAACAGGCACTTCCCCAAAGAAGACATTCAGGTGCTAGATGAGGAAATGCTCATGATCATTAGCCATTAGAGAAATGCAAATCAAAAGTGCAATGAGATACCATCTCACCCCGACAATGCTAGCATTAATCCAAAAAACACAAAATAATAAATGTGGGAGAGGTTGTGGAGAGACTGGAACACTTATACACTGTTGGTGGGAATGTAAAGTGGTACAACCACTTTGGAAATCGATTTGGCACTTCCTTAAAAAGCTAGAAATAAAGGTACCATACAATCCAGCAATCCCGCTTCTTGGCATATATCCTAGAGAAATGAGAGTCATCACACGAATAGATACATGCACACCAATGTTCATTGCAGCACTGTTCATGATAGCAAAAAGATGGAACCAACCTAGGTGCCCATCAACTGATGAATAGATAAACAAATTATGGTATATTCACACAACGGAATACTACGCAACGATAAAGAACACTGATGAATCCATGAAACATAACATGGAAGAATCTGGAAGGCATTATGCTGCGTGAATTTAGTCAGTCACAGAAGGACGAATATTGTATAAGACCACTATTATAAGAACTCAAGGAAAGGTTTAAACACAGAAGAAAACATTCTTTGATGGTTACAAGGGTGGGGAGGGAGGGAGAGGGTTATTCACTAACTAGACAGTAGACAAGAATTATCTTAGGTGAAGGGAAGGACAGCACAACTGGACTAAACCAAAGCTAAAAAAGTTCCTGAATACAACCAAACACTTCGAGGGACAGAGTAGCAGGAGCAGGGATCTGGGACTATGCTTTCAGGGGACCTGTAGGTCAATTGGCATAATAAAGTTTATTAAGAAAATGTTCTGCATCCTACTTTGGTGAGTGGCATCTGGGGTCTTAAAAGCTAGCGAGCGGCCATCTGGGATGCATCAATTGGTCCCACTCCACCTAGAGTAAAGGAGAATGAAGAACACCAAAGACACAAGGAAACTATTAGCCAAAGAGACAAAAAGGGCCACATAAACCAAAGACTTCATCAGCCTGAGACCAGAAGAACTAAACGGTGCCCGGCTACCACCACCGACTGCCCTGACCGGGAACACAACAGAGTCCCTGATGGAGCAGGAGAAAGGTGGGGTGCAGAACTCAAATTCTAGTAAAAAGACCAGACTTAATGGTCTGACTGAGATTGGAGGAACCCCGAAGGCATGGCCCCCAGACTCTCTGTCAATCCAGAGCTAAAACATTCCTGAGGCCAACTGTTCAGACAAAGATTAGACTGGACTATGGGATGTAAAATGATTGGACTGTGGGACATAAAAAGAGCGTGCTTCTTAGCACAAGTAGATACATGAGACTAAATGGGCAGCTCTGTCTGGAGCTAAGATGAAAAGGCAGAGAGGGTCAGGAGCGGGTTGAATGGACATGGGAGATCAGGGGTAGAAAGGAGGAGTGTGCTGTCATAGTATAGGGAGAGCAATTAGGGTCACAAAGCAATGTATGTGTAAATTTTTGTATGAGAGACTAACTTGAAATGTAAGCGTTCACTTAAAGAACAACAATTAAAAAAAAAAAAAAGAAGAGTTCAGGCTGCTAACCAGAAGGTTGGCAGTTTGAATCCACCAACCGCTCCTTGGAAACCCTATGTGGCAGTTCTACTCTGTCCTATAGTGTTGCGATGAGTCGGAATTGACTCGTAAGGCAATGGGTATTATTACTGTAATTATTCAAGCAAAGATGAGAGGTAGAATTTGGGGGGTCATGATCATGGTCTCTGGATGTGGATTGCCTGGGTTCAAATTCCACCTTGGCTACTTTCTAGCTGGGTGACTTCGGGTCATTTACATAGCTTTCCTTGAGCCTCAGGCTCCTCATCTTTAAAAGCGACATAATATAGCACCTACCTCAGGAAGTCCTTCATTTCTTCCAGGGAAGAAATGATTCATATAATAAAGCACCCAAAGTGATACCTAAAATATAGTAAGAGCCCAATAAAAGGTTCACTATTATTAACAAATGGCCTCAGACACCTGGGAATTCTCTCTCTGCAGGTCATCAAACGCTGTGACATCATACTCCTGATGGAAATCAAGGACAGTAACAACATGATCTGCCCCACTCTGATGAAGCAGCTGAATGGGTAAAGACGAGGAGCTGGAAAGTGGGGGGTGGGGGGAGTGGGGGCCCAGCCCTCTACAGGCTCGAGATCAGATGCGAGGGCACCTGAAAAGCCCCAGGAAACTGAAACTGGTGTGGTAGCCTGTGCTTCCCCTGACCACCAGGGCACGTGGCTAGAGCTTCCGAGGCTTCAACTCCATTAGCCATGGTCTTGAGAACTTGCAACCTTCTGGTTTTCACACGATAAAGCAAAATAGGGAAAATAGGTGAGGAGCAAGATAGAAAGAGAAATGAAAGAAGCAGGTAAGAGGCTGGACTCTGAAGTACGGTTATAAAGAAAAGATTGAATGCTAACCATAGAAAAAAATTTAATAAAATCATGTAGCTGGAATATTATGCAGCTGTTAAAAATCGTACTCCACTGAAATGGCAAATGTTTTATCCTAAATGTATTTTACCACAATAAAAAAAAATCATGCTTACTACTAAATAAGTTAGAGCTATAAGTTAGAGCATATGCCAGCATGGAAAGATGGCCACCATAAATTAAAAAAAGCAAGCCCAGAACCGCAGGTTCGGTAGACCATTTCGGCAGTCACATCACGCTAGACACAGACAAGGCTGTGGTAGTGTTTGCATTAGGAGACCTGGTGGCAAAATGGTTAAACACTCGACTGCTAACAGGAGGTCAGTGGTTGGAACCCACTAGCCACTCCGTGGGAGAAAGATGCGGTAGTCCGCTTCCGTAAAGATTACAGCCTTCGAAACCCTACGGGGCAGTTCTACTCTGTCGTACGGGGTTTCTATCAGGCGCAATCAGCTCCATGGCAACGGGTAATGCCTGCAAGAGCATAGAAGAAAGACTGGAAGGATGTACTTCCAAATTGTTAATAGTGATTACTTCTCGGAGTATGATTGGAGAACAGTGAGGGGCGAGGGGGACCCACTGAAGGAATGGGGAGTATTTGCTCTTTATTTTGTTTACTTTTGTAGGATTTTAATATTTCGTAACAAGTCTGAATTCATTTCATAATTTAAAAATTAATTTAAAAAATGCACTCATTGGGTAATATTTATGATTTGTATTCTTTGTCATAGAATGATCAGCAGACCCCCCCACCACCACCCTAACCTGGCAGTCACCCAGGAGAGTGAGTTAAAAATGCATATTCATAGACCCCAGATCTATTGAATGAGAACATCTGTGAGAGGGGAATTGTATTTTAACAAGCTTCCAGGGTGATTTTTCAAAACCCAGAATATAAGGTTTCTACTGTAGCTGCATTATAAGATGAAGCAACAAATCAGGGTACACAATAGTATGTACTGCGTAGCCGAATTATGTTAAAAATACATGTAAAAAATTCAAAGAAAACACAACAAAATTTTGACAGTGGCTATCTCAGGATACAAATTTACAAGGGATTTACATGTAGCTTCTTCTATATATTTTCTGTATTTTCCAAGTTCTCCACACTGAGAATGTTACACCTCCCTTTCTCTTATTAAACAGTTCAAACAATCTTAAAAGCACAGAGACTCATATAACAAGCAGCCATGTATCCACCACCTAGATTTAACAAACCAAAGCCATTGCCGTTGAGTCGATTCCGACTCATAGCGATACAATAGGACAGAGTGGGACCGCCCCATAGAGTTTCCAAGGAGCGCCTGGTGGATTTGAACTGCCGACCTTTTGGTTAACAGCCATAGCTCTTAACCACTACACCAGCAGGGTTTCCAGTTTAACAAACAGTACTCTGTAACTCGCTGCCATCAAGTCGATCCTGACTCAGTGACCCTATCATCTGGCCATTAGTGTACTTCGATAATTAGAAAAACTCACACTGTTTTTGAAAAATAAAGGGGCAGTCCAGAGTCATTAGTCCCGGGGCGGAACAGCTGTGGACACTGACCTTCGCACAGAGGGCCTCCTGGTCTTGCCCCACCCACTCTCAGCCTCAGTTTCCGCATCTGAAAATAATGGGTCAGAGCAGAGCCTCTCCGTTTCAGCCTCCACCTGTCTTCCATTTCTGGATCTGCTCTTTGCCTTTCAAAGCGGGAGTGTAGCCTGGGGGTTAGGAGCCCACCCAGCTCAGACCACCTGGATTTGGATCCTGGCTCTGCCATGACCTCGGGCAAGTTACTGAGCCTCTTTATGCCTCATTGTCTCCATCTGTAAAACAGGGCTGATGATAGAAACACCTTCCTGGGACTTAGTGATCATTAAATTAAACCATGCAGACTAGTGGTTAACAGTGCCTGAGCTGTGCCCAGTCAGTGCTAGCGGTTTCTATTACTAGTCAGAGGAACCAACCAAACCAAACCTGTCGCTGTGGAGTGATTCCGACTCACAGCGACCCTATAGCGTTTCCAAGTCTGCACATTGTTACGGAAGTAGATTGTCACATCTTTCTTCCGAAGAGCGGCTGGTGGGTTCAAACCACAGACCTTTGGTTAGCAGTGGACCACTTTAAGCACTGCGCCACCAGGGCTCCTTAGCAAGAGGAAGGGACGCATTATAAAGACAGGTAATGGTCCAGGTTTAACACATGTTAACAGCAACCACTGACCCTATGTGTCGGGCATCTTGTTAATCAATTTACGTCTGTTCTCCCTACAACAACCCTGTGGGGCAGGTACTATTACTGTTTTTCTTATAGCCCAGGGAGCTGAGGAACAGACAGCCTACTTTGAACCTGGGTCAAGTCTGAGTCCAAAGCCAGCTGAGCCCCACTCAGCTCTTCTTGGAGGGGCTCTAATCAGTTTTCAGGAGCATAGAGGACTGAGGGGCCAGATGAGCTCCAGGCTTTCCCCACAGTCTGTCTGGGGCAAGTTTTTCCATCCTCCAGCATGGCCTGAGTGCTCCCCAACCCGCCTAGAGTGTGCTGTGGTATGCGGGGGCCAGAAGTATGAGCTACAGCCCCAACCATGGACCATAGTGGGATCTGGAACTGATTCTGGCCCAAATCCTCTATCGTCTTGAGGGTCAGAGGTACAGAACAAAGCAAGTGGGCTTTGGAGTGAGTCAGACCTGGGTTCAATTCCCAGCTTTGCACTTGCAAGCTATAAAGAGGAGGTAACAATACTACCCACCTTGAAAGGACAAGCCAAGTCTGTTTATTCATCCCCTTATCCCCCCACAAGCCAAGGTGCCTTAGTCACCCTTGGCTGAGTCACTGCAAGAAGTTTGCCAAGCCAGGACTTGGCAGGCTAGATTCAAAACAGGGCCAGCCTTTGCAAGCTGAAAGCCCAGCTGAATCCACTGTTTGCACCCTTGGGCCCCAACGGCCAGGTCTACCCAAAAACACGCATCTGAAGCCTCAGAAATTTCTGTAGGGTCTAAGTTTGCCCCTAAATACCACCTGTTTTTATCCAACTGAATTTGAGAATACGCCACAGCTTTAGCCATGCCCCAGGTCTTTTTTGCAGGTAGATGGAGTGAAACCGTGTCAGGCGCTGCCCAGGGTAGGGTTATCAGCAGGTCTGGAAAACGCACAGAGAGAGTTGAGTTTCCCCCTTGGAGGTGAGGGGTGGGGTCAACGAGACTCCACTGCCGCATCCCCAGCCCCTGGGAGGTAAAGAACAGCTGATTTGAAGTCATAGTCACAGGACGTGCGAGAAAATGCTTGGCGGTTTTCGGAGTTGGAGAGACTGTCCAACTAAAGCTTTACTAGGAACCCTGCATGTAATAAATACAGAAGTGGTGCATGGACGGGGTGACCCAGTGGGCCTTACTCCACCAAGAAGAATGAGCTACAGCCCCAGCCATGGACCACATTGGGGTTTGGGACTGATTCTGGCCCGAATCCTCTATGGTCTTGAGGGCCAGAGGTGCAGGGCAAAGCAAGTGGGCTTTGGAGTGAATCAGACCTGGGTTCAAATCCCAGCTTTGCACTTGCAAGCTATAAAGAGGCGGTAACAGTACTACCTACCTTGTAAGGACAAGAAATAATGGCTGTACAGATCTTGGCAGGCATTACATTCCCAGTCCGCGGTGGCCCTTTTTGTTAGATTCAAATGCCCATTAAGCAAAGGTTAGAGTGAAGAGAAGCCCTTCCACATGATGCCATCAGGAATAGGGAGGCAGATTGGAGAGAGGGGAATGCATGCAATGAGGAAATGTTTATTCTTTAAGATGCAATGAGAAATCCTTATGTTTTCTAGAAATTCAAGGAGAGGCATAAAATACAACTACGTGATCAGCTCTCGGCTGGGAAGAAACACATACAAAGAGCAATATGCCTTTCTCTATAGGTAAGTACATTCTATGCCACCCGGAACACAGTCCACTTATAAATTAAGTCTGTGAATTCAATCACCATGCCTATCTTTTCCTCAAAACCTGATTTTGATCTCTAACCAGTTCTCAATATTCATCAAAATAATTGCTGTCAGAATTGAGACCGATGCAAAGTATTAACTCTTCAAACTAGAAAACGCAAGCAGCTTCCTAACAACTTATTTGTTGGCTGGATCAATGGTTGTCTAGATCAATGGTTCTTTATTTTTCATAGTCAAGTTCTGGTGTAGGCCTGGAAACCCGAGCTGCCTAGCATGGCTGACTCCTGAGTCTCACATTCTTGTCTTCTTTCTGCTAGTGATTTTTGTTAAGTCTGGACATTCGTTTGTGGGTTCCCCAGATAAGGACTACAGCTCAGGCTCTCAGTTCCCAAAGGGCTCCAGCCATGACTGAGAAGGGTTGTCTCAGCCTTGCTCTCGCAAAAGATCCCTTCCAGGAGAATTTCAAACTCTCACGGAATCCAGACTTTTGGAGCCATTGAGGCTGAATGAACTCCTGAAGCTATTGCCCTGAGAGGATCTTTAAACCTTAAATCAAAAATACCCCCTGAAGTCTTCTTTAAACCAAACAATAGTTTAGCTTAATTAGTAAAGAATATCTGCCTTGCAAGATCATGGAAGCTCCACAGACACATCCAAACTCCCTGAGGGACCAAATTACTGGGCTGAGGGCTGTGGTGACCATGGTCTCAGGGGACATCTAGTTCAATTGGCACAACATAGTTTATAAAGAATTACATTATACTTTGGTGAGTAGTCTGGGGTATTAAAAGCTTGTGAGCAGCCATCTAAGATACTCACTCCACTGGTCTCACCCCGTCTGGAGCAAGGGAGAAGGATGAAAACAAAAGACACAAGGAAAAGATTAGTCAAAAGGACTAATGGACCACATCTACCACAGCCTCCACCAGAGTGAGTCCAGCACAACTAGATGGTGCCCGGCACCACCACTGACTGCTCTGACAGGGATCACAATAGAGGGTCCTGGACAGAGCTGGAGAAAAATGTAGAACAAAATTCTAACTCACAAAAAAAAAAAAAAAAAAGCAGACTTACTGGTGTGACAGAGACTGGAGAAACCCTGAGAGTATGGCTCCCAGACACATTTATAGCACAGTAATGACGTTACTCGTGAGGTTCACCCTTCAGTCAAAGATTAGACAGGCCCATAAAACAAAGTGAGATTAAATGGGCACACTAGCACAGGGGCAAGGACGGGAAGGCAGGAGGGGACAGGAAAGTTGGTAATGGGGAACCCAAGGTCAAGAAGTGGAGAGTGTTGACATGTCATGGGATTGGCAGCCAATGTCACAAAACAATAGGTTATTATTTGTTTAATGAGAAACTAGTTTTCTCTGTAAACCTTCATCTAAAGTACAATTTAAAAAACTTTTTAATTAAAAAAAAAAAGAATATCTGCCTTGAGCATTGTGCTCTTTTAAAGAACTATCTATTGGATCAAATTGACAGCAGCAACTTGAAAGAGAAGATAGAAAACTTAGGATGCAGTGAGTTTATGTTAATGGGGGAGGAACAATTCAGAAAAAGAGGATGAGAATGATTGCACAATCTGAAGAGTGTAATCAATGACAGTGAATTGTGCATGTAGGAGTTGTTGAATTGATGTATGTTCTGCTGTGTATATTCTTAACAACAAAAAATAAATTTTTTTTTTTTAAAAAAAGATCCCTTCCAGGGCTTGAGCCAGCTCCGGAGGCTAACAAAGCCTTGGGAGCGGAAGTCTCTGCTTCTTGAAAGAAGTAAGAAAACAGAACAAACTCAGCTTGGGGGACTTCCTTATTTCTCTTCTAGGGAAAAGCTGGTGTCTGTGAAGAAAAGCTACCTCTACCATGACAATCAGAATGGAAATGAAGACGTGTTTTCCAGGGAGCCCTTTGTGATCTGGTTTCAGTCGCCCCACACTGGTGAGACCCACAGTCCTCTCGTGCATGATGAGGGAGCCTGGATCCACTCAGAGACCCCAAGAATGGGCGCAGGGGCGGATTACCCAGTAAACAAGGTATAAACGGGCTTAGTTGTGTTTACTCGCTAACCTGTACTGCACAACTTCACATGGGTTTCACCACATCAAGAAAGTATGCTCTACAGATTAGTAAATAAGCACAAGTAAGCCCTTGCACACCTTGCTTCCTGGATAATCCGTCCCTGAATGGGCAGCACCTCGGAGTGTGACTGCCATTCCAGGGTTTATGCAGCATCTTTAGGGTGGCAACAGGCTTGGGACAACAACCAAGAACATCTTTTAATACCTCAATGTAGAGGATGCAGTTTAGTTTGATGGCAGCAGGCTCACTTCTCAGAATGCCACGACTCAAGACCCCCCTGCCCTGGAACTCTTCTCTAGAATCAGTGGTATCTCTCTCTCTGGAGCACTTAGGCTGGTGGAAATGATTTACTGCAATTCCTCAGTCTCCATCATGTACAACTGTTCCTTCATCCCAAGTGATGGCCAGCAAAGATGGGCCCCCAGCCTCTCCAGTCACTCCATCACAGTTTCCCCCCACAGACTGGGGGTAGAGAGGAAATTCACACGGATCACATCCTGAACTTAGCAACAATCATACTTGTACTACCAGTTGCTGCCTAGGCAACCCCGACTCATGGTGACCCCGTGTGTGTCAGAGAAGAAAACCATAGGGTTTTCAATGGCTGATTTTTTTCCCCAGATCACCAGGCCTTTCTTCCAAGGCACCTCTGGGTGAACCTGACCCTCCAGGCTTTCAGTTCAGCCAAGTGCATTACCCATTTGTGCCACCCGGGGATTCCTACTACTTGTACTGTTGTTGTTTTGGTTGTTGTTGTTAGGTGCCATCAAGTCAATTTTCGACTCATAGCGACTCCGTGTGACAGAGTAGCACTGCCCCAGAGGGTTTTCTAGGTTGTAATCTTTACGGGAACAGATCACCAGGCCTTTCCCCCACAGAGTGGCTGGGTGGGTTTGCACCGCCGACCTTTCCGTTAGCGACAGAGCGCTTAACAGTTGTGCCAGGGCTCCTAGCCACTAACAATTATTGATCCCTGAGTAAGCGCCAGCTGTCATCCATGCATGGCCTCCTGTAAGTCTTGCAACAATCCTACAAGGTAGGAACTAGGATTATTTCCACTTTACAGTTGAGGAAACTGAGGCTTAAAAAGATGAAGTCACTTGTCCAAGGTTGCCCAGCTATTGAAGTGGATACGCCAGGGTTTTCACCCCAGCTACCATCTTAGGCGCCCATGCTCTTAACCATTATACTGCACTCGGTGGAAAGTCGAGAATTCAACTCCGTTCGCAGATGGGAACTACATAGAATCAAATATTTATTCAGCACCTACTACATGCCAGGCCCTGTGCCAGGCACCAGACGAGACAGACAAGGTCCCTCCCCTTGTGAAGTTAAGGTGTAGTACGGGGGACAGGTAATGACTTAATAGATATATGCAGAGCTGTAAGTATGTACATCTATGCTTACAGAACACAAATACAAACATCCTGACCTGTGAAGTTAGCCATTAACCAGAGCTAAGTAGCTCATGGGGAGAGTGCTTATTCAGGAAAATAAACACAGGGATACAGTGGGGAAATTAAACAAGGAGGTGGGGGCTATTGAGGACAAGAAATGCCCTTCAGAGAGCACGTGCCATTGTCATCTCTGTCCGGCATGCCAATCACACGTGGCTGACCAGGGCAGGGTTTGGAGAGGGCCTCCCTAAATGATTACTTCTTTTCAAAGAGGGCCCTGGGCCTTTGTGAACTGCTGAACAAACCTGTTTTCCCGGAGCCGCTGCTTTTCCTCCCCAGCCTGTGCCCCTCCCTCTCTCCTTTGGGACACCACCGTCCATGGCCTGGTTGGAGTTCTCTATGCTGTACAAGAAAACCTCCTATGTCCTCTCTATTGGGATCAAAGATGAAGGAGTTAGCTGTAGATCTGTCTTCTCATTCATTCATTCATGCATGCATTCAGACAACAAACACTTCTGAGCACCTCCAATGGGCTAGGGCCGAGGGGGTGAACCAGACAGATAAGCCTGCCCTCAGAGAGCTTACATTCTAGTGGGCCAAACAGAGAAACAAAGGAATATCATTTCAGAGCACAGAGGAAGGAAGCAGGTTGCGTGGAATAGCGGGGGGCTCCACCTTAGATGGGGTGACCACGCAGAAGAAACTGTGAGCACAGAAGCTCTGTGGTGGGAAGGAGGGCCCAGAGGGCCCAAGAGGTGGATGGGGGAGTAGAGTGTGGGTCCTGGAGACAGGCGGCCTGGGTCCAAGTCCTGCTGCCCACTGAGCAGCTACGTGACCACCCAGCAGCCCCCAGCTCATGAGGCCGGAGTGGGGACCCAGCGGCAGATGACGGGGAAGCCCCAGGTGGTGGCGCTCAGAGGACATCAGCTGCTCTTGGTAGGGGGGGCGCGGCACCATCGGTGGCTGACCCACATCCCCACAAGCAGGGTCTCTCCACCCCTCCTGCTGCGGTGAGGTTTTTAAACACTCCAACAAGACCACTGTATTTTTAAAATAATTTTATGTTTTTTATCTCCCCTGATTACAAAAGGAGTATAAAGTGGCAAATGTCAATTTTTTTTAATTATAAAAAAATTCTTTTTCCTTAGTCCAAAAGCCAAACAGGCTCATTATTGTTTTAGAAAATACAGATTCGCATAAAATGAGAAAAACACACGTACAGTATCAGCAGACAGCAGCGTCTCACAGCTTTCTCTGTGGTCATGAAGGGCAAGTGGGAGAAAAGAGGCTTTCAGGTATTAAAAATAAGCAGCCGAATGACTCTAAAAAACAAAAAGCCCATTGCCGTCGAGTCAATTCCGACTCATAGCGACCCTGTAGGACAGAGTAGAACTGCCCCATCGGGCTCCCGAGGAGCAGCTGTTGGATTCAAACTGCCGACCTTTTGGTTAGCAGCTGCGCTCTTAACCACTACACCAGTCTCAGCCACTGGCTGGACCCTCTGGAAGTGGGGAGACCCAGACACCACATGCAGCCTGTGCCTCTGTGAGAGGCCCGTTGTCCTGGAGCAGGGTTCCTGTGACCTGGATGGGGCAGTGTGTGACTTCCCGCTCTCTCTTGCCCCTCAGCTGTCAAGGACTTCGTGATTGTCCCCCTGCACACCACTCCCGAGACATCCGTTAAGGAGATCGATGAGCTGGCTGATGTCTACATGGATGTGAAAAAACTCTGGAACGCTCAGGTGATGACCCTCTTGTTTGTCAAATTCCCATCTAACAAGACCAGAATCTTGTCCTCGGATGGGATGAGTAGCTCCCAGGGAGTTGTGTGCTCCACTCCCTCTCCTCAGTCTTGAATATACTTCTTCCTAAATCTGCCCCAGAGAGTCCTGGGAATCGGCACACTGCATTACCAGTAACAGCTGCCAACATTTACTGGGTGACTAGCTCATGCCAAGGCACTGTTCTGAGGCTTGACATGAACAAATTTGTTCCAACCTCCCAACAACCCCATGAGGTAGGTGCTTTTATCATTCCCACTTCGCAAGTGAGAAGAGTGAGGCACAGAGAGGTTAGGAGTCTTTTGGTTACAAGTGTCAGAAGCTCAAACTGGCCCAGGAAAAGAGAGATTTATTGGCTCATGTAACTGAAATGTCCAGGAATAGTTCAGGCACAGCTGGATCCAGGGCTCAAAGAAGGAAATCAGGACTTGGTTTGTCTCTTTTTTTCCATCTCTTGGTTCTCCTTTCCTCTGGGTGGGCTCCCTTCTCAAGCAGGCTCTACCTTTGGGGTGGCAAGATGGCCACCAGCAGATCCGTGTCCTGGGATTGTGTCTCGTCAGCTCTGATTGGGTCATATGCCCATCCTTGAACCAATCACTGTGATCAGGGGGCTGAGATGCTCTGATTGGCTGAATCTGTGTCAGTTCCACCCAGACCTCCAGGACTGAGGTGGAGGAAGGGTGGTTTCCAAAGGAAACATGGAGAGCTGTCCTCAGCAGAAGCGGGAAGCAGCCTCCATTCTCTAGGCCTTATTGTCCCCATCCGAAAATCAGAGATGCCATTACCTGTGGCTGTGAGGGTCTGTGGAAGCTCTTGGCAAATGTGGAAGGGCTCCAGAGGGCTCTTCTTCCTTTCAGGAGGTGACTCTAGTAATCCCCCTTCCTCCTCCTCAGTTCTCTGGTTAGAGTGTAAAATGAGTCAAGTCAAGTGTGGACCGAAGAAGAGTTGATGCCTTTGAATTGTGGTGTTGGCAAAGAATATTGAATATACCATGGACTGCCAGAAGAACGAACAAGTCTGTCTTGGAAGAAGTACAGCCAGAATGCTCCTTAGAAGTGAGGAGGATGGCGAAACTTTGTCTCACGTACTTTGGACATGTTATCAGGAGGGACCAGTCTCTGGAGAAGGACATCACACTTGGTAAAGTAGAGGGTCAATGAAAAAGAGGAAGACCTTCAACAAGATGGACTGACACAGTGGCTGTAACAATGGGCTCAAGCATAACAACGATTGTGAGGATGGCGCAGAACTGGGCAGTGTTTCGTTCTGCTGTACGTAGGGTTGCTATGAGTCGGAACTGACTCAACAGCAACTAACAACAAAACGGAGTGTGGACACAGACAGTCGATCGGAGCTGGGGCACGGAGAACACAAAGGGTGTATTTCATTGTTTATTTGTAGACAACGGGGCAAGAGAAAGAGTCATCTATTCATTCCATCCTTAAATTATTGATCCATCCACCCATTCAATGAGAATTTATCGAGCGTCTATTAAGTGCCAGGTCCTGGAGGGGCATCGTCAGCACAAAAGTGAACAAGAGGGGAAATTCTGTTGCAATGAGGGAACTTCAGTGAGGCACAGCAGGGCTCAGTTCTTACCTTCACCACTTGATCTCCCAATTGTGTTCCTCCCAGTTGAGTAAGTCCCTTAATTAATCCCTCTGATCCACACTTGCCTGTATCTACCACCTAGTGTTATCGTTGTGAGATTTACATTAAACTTTATGAAACACTTAACACAGGGCCTGGCACACGGAGAACGCTCAGTAAATCACGCCCAGTATAAGCAGAAGCTGTAATCACAGGGGTTAACGGAGACATGCAATCCTCAACCACTCGCATCAATCTCAGAGGAAACCAGGATCACCGAAGTCAAAATAAAATGTTTCTGAAGAAAACGCTGAAGTCAGCAATAGCCCCAAACAATAGCACAAACAAGGAAATCTGACACTTCCTCTGGATTGAAATGTCAAAATTCTATCCCAAGAGCCCTGGAGGGAAAAACTCTTCCAAGATAGAAAATTTCTGTTGATGGCTTCAGAATGGGGGTGGACAGATCACCGTACGGCCCCTCACCTTAAGACCCATCCCTGCTGCCTCAATAGACAGAAATTCTGCAGGAAAAAGGGCCCAGTCAAGACAGTGGGGGACAAAAAGCAGTTCCAAAGCTGTCACACACACCATCCAGGTTCATTTTTCCTGCTTGGAAGCAAAAGGCGTTGATTCATTCTTATGTTTATATCCTACAATAGTTTGAGCCAGAGACAAGAGAGGGGCAGGAATATATTAGCTGGCTTCTTCTCTCCCCCCAACTCTGCACGCTAAATGATAGCGAAGCGTGGTGACTAACAATAGGGGAGAACAGCTACCACAAACATCCTCCTTCCCACTGAGAACACCCTCCCTTGTACACCCTTACCTGCTCATCAAAATGGTGACTCAGTTTTAAACCGTGGCCCCTTCTTTTAAACGGCACAAAGAAATGAAGCCAGATCCCGTTGTTTACTGGGCATGGGCGGTGGAGTCCTCGCTAGGGGACTCTATCTAAAGTTATCCTGCAACAATGCCCACCAGGTGACAGTTCCCAATTGTGTCTTTCAGAATTTCATTTTCATGGGCGACTTCAATGCCGGCTGCACCTATGTCCCCAAGAAGGCCTGGAAGAACATCCGCCTGAGGACTGACCCCGGGTTTGTTTGGCTGATTGGGGACCAAGACGACACCACAGTCAAGGGGAGCACCAACTGTGCATATGACAGGTGCAAGGCATCGTGGGGACCCCTGCCAGCCCATCCAGTGCCTTGGTGTGCATTAGAAAGGGCGCCCCCTCTGGGCAGATGAAGCATCACCAGGGCACTCCGCTTAGAGAGCAGCAACGATTAGATTTCAAGACCCTCCACCAGCTACATGTGCTGTGTTTACACTGTATGACTCTTAGTTACCTAGGGCTGGCGAGCAAAATACCACAAACTGGGTGGCTTAAAACAACCAGAATTTATTGTCTCATGGTCTGGAGGCTAGAAGTCCAAAGTCAAGGTGTTGGCAGGGCCGTGTTCTCTCTGAAGGCTCTAGGTGGGGATCCTTCCTTGCTTCTTCCTAGCTTCTGGTGGTTGCCAGCAATCCTTGGCGTTCCTTGGCTTGTAGACACGTCACTCCAGTCTCTGCCTCCATTGTCATATGGCGTCTCCCTGTGTGTCTACCTCTGTTTTCTCTTTTTATAAGGACTTCAGCCATATTGTATTAGGGCCCGCTCTAATCCAGTATAACCTCATCTTACCTAATTACATCTGCAAAGACTCTGTTTCTAAATCAAGCCATATTCTGAGGTTCCGGGTAGACATGATTTTAGGGGAGCACAAGTCAGCCTAGTACTATGGTGGCCCCGTAGCTCAGCGGTGATGAGTACAGACTTTGGAGTCTGACACACACCTAGGTTCAAATCCTGGCTCTACCTCTTATTATGTCTGTGACCATGAGACTTAAGCTCTGTGTACTTCAGTTTCCTCACCTGTACACGGAAACCCTTCAAGTGCCTCACTTGTGGACGTGGGGATTAAATGAGGTGACAGTAAATGACGTAACCCTGCTGCTAGCACCGTGCCTGGTGTAGGCTGTTAATCATTCCATCACAAAGACACCATACAGTTTATTCACCCAATCACCTCTGTTGGGATTCCTTGCAATTTGCTATTATAAACACTGCCGCAATGAACATTCTGCGTTTGCCCTTTATGCACATAGTTGTAATTTCCTGAGGGTAAAACCCTAAAAAATGAGACCAGTGGGTGAATGGGTATTTACACAATCCTAAATACGAATATGGGTAAATAACAGCATTCTCTTGTACTTGTAAGGGCTCTTTGGAGATTTTAAGCAGCTTTTACCTTTGTGGCGCAGTGGTTAAGAGCTCGGCTGCTAACCAAAATGTTGGCAGCTCGAATCCACCAGCCGCTCCTTGGAAACCCTATGAGTCAGAATAGTCTCTACGGCGACAGATTTTCTACACTTCTTGTACCTGAAGTGTGCAAATGCCAGTGGCTACTCGCCCACAGCAGAGACTGAAGACAGGGAATCCCCTAGCAGCCCCAGTCCCACGGTCCCACGGAGGCCTGGTTCCCAGAACTCACCCTGCAGCACAGATGGCGTGAGATGGCCATCTGCAATAGGACAGTTGTTCTCATTTCTCAAGTTTTGAGGTCTGGCTTTCATTCCTACCCTCTGACCTCCTTTGTTCCTCTCAGAGGAGCTTCAGGGGCTGCTGTTTCCTTTGCAGAAGACATTGCTCCAGCTCTCAAAAGTGAAACAGCCCCGAGCGCTGGGAACTGCCCAGTCAAGGTGGAAGTCACGGAAGACTCAGCAGCTCCCAGACTGCCTCCTCCTCCCCACCCCCACCCATGTTGGAGATGGCCACTCGGCCACTCGCACACGCCAGCACGTGACCGTGGGCAGGTCACCTCCCTTCTCAGGCCCATTCTCCTCCCCTGACAAACGGGGCAGGGGAGAGGGGAGAATAGTGATGCAGAAGAAGAGTTAATCACAAGGGAAGAGAATCACAAGTTTATACCACATCAGGTCAGGTGGGGAAACAGTAAAAAAACACAGTTGTTTACTAAAAGGATCCTGATTTTACACCCGTGTATGCCAAAGAATGGTGGGATTACATGTGGTTTTTTAAATGCCCTTTTATTTTTTCTAGCTGTTTTAGGTTTACAGAAAGTATAGTCACAGCTAGATGAGCATCAGGAGAAGGTACCTGAATGGTGGACCCACCACGCACGTAACTAGAGGAAGTCAGAAACTGGAGGGGCTCAGCCATGGTCTTTGCTTCTGGGTTTCAAAGAACAACTTTAACACATTTCAACCTGATGTGAGGAGCTTGCTTTGTGGTTAGGTTCAAAGTTAACCACGGTGGTGCGGATTGCAAACATGGGAAACCAAAATCAAAACCAAAAACCAAACCCGGTTGCCGTCAAGTCAAGGCTGACTTGTAGCGACCCTATAGGACGCAGTAGAACTGCCCATAGGGCTTCTAAGGCTGTAATCTTTACGAGAGCAGACCGCCACATCTTTCTCCCGTGAAGCGGCTGGTGGGTTCAAACCGCCAACCTTTTGGTTGGCAGCAGAGCGCTTCACCACTGCGCCACCAGGGCTCCTCAGAACCCAAAACAGAACCGGGGAAAGCGGGGTGGATACTCATGACGTGGCCTTGTGGCTCTCCTTGTCATTCTCCATCCGTCGGTTGGGGCCACACAGACCCAGCCTCCGTCACTCGCCTTGTGATGGTCTGAGTCTGTGCCATGCTCGCACTTGTTGTCAGCGCTGCGGCCCATCTGCACTGTGGTTCTTTATACCCATTTATTTCCCGCTGAAACAAACTAAGCTTTAAATGAAACTTCATAATAAGTCAGTCAGAAAACAGTATCACTTGCCGTAATTGAAGGTAAAAATAAACTTGGTTAAAACCCAGACATTGGTAGATTCTGCCTTAGATCTCTTGCCTGCAGAATGCTCGGACGTTGTGGCCTGCTTTCTCTTTGTCAAATGGGAGTTTAATCAAAAACCAAACCCAACCCATTGCCATCGAGTCCATTCTGACTCATAGTGATCGTATAGGACGGACTAGAACTGCCCCATAGAGTTTCCAAGGAGCGGCTGGTGGATTTGAACTAGCTGATCTTTTGGTTAGCAGCCACGTTCTTAACCACTGCGCCATCAGGGCTCCACCAGGGAGATATAAAGACAAGCCAGCCCCTATTGGAAAATTCCTCCGTGACCTAATTAAGAACATTGAAACATAATTGGAAAATGAACTACATTCTCAGTATGTAAGTTGTGGTGGGGTGAGGTGGTGCCTTGGTCTCCTGGGGCTGTCATGACAATGTACCACAAACTGGGTGGCTTGTAAGAACTGAAATTTATTGTCTCACAGTTCTGGAGGCTTGAGGTCCAAATCAAGGTGTTGGCTGGGCCGTGCTCCCTCGGAAATCTGTAGGGGAAGATCCTTTCTTATCTCTCTCAGCTCTGGTAGCCCCGGGCTTCTTTGGCTTGTAGATGTATCTTCACATGGCTGTCCTCCCTCTTTCTGGCTGAGTCGCTTTTCCTCTTTTATAAGGAATCCACAGTGATGTCACTAAGGTTGGTGTCACCCAGTGCAGTAACACACGCTGTCGCCCCTCCCCGACGCGTCTCCTCCCGTCCCAGACCATGCCGAATCCTTAGTAATGTTTTTTCTGCTAATGCTACTCGTAAATCTTAAACGCCAGCAGTAATGAAAACAACAGTGTGTAACTTGTAGGCATGCAGACAAAACCACATGATCTGAGGCGTCGTTATAATTGGGTAATAATGACAGCTCTGACGGGAGCCTGTTAGAAGTAAATTAGCATAGAATTAGCCTTGTAGGTATATGGATAGTTGTAAACTGGGCTTACAAAAGATGTTTTTGTTGGTGTACCTAACGAACTACAGGGATATTTTTATACAAAAATAATATATTTCTGCTGAAACACTGCACAAAAATTGTATAGACCATCATTTTGCTGTTGCCTTCTCTGACAGTGTCACCCAGTGTGGTCCGCACCCCCTGAACCCCCCTGGTGACGCCACTGGGATACTACTCACATGGGATTAGTATCCACCCTACTCCAGTATGAATGCATGTTAACTAAACTAATAACATCTTCAAAGACCCTATTTCCAAACAAGGTCATGTTCACAGGTGACTTAGGACTTCAACATTATCTTTTTAGGGGACACAATTAAATTCATAACATGTAGCATTCATGTGTCATGTAAAATCTTTTCTTATACCACCAGGGATACCCGCCTACGCGGAGAAGCACTGGCCTGGTGCCCACATGGCCATGGCAGGGACTAGTCCTATTTAGCAATCTCAGGCTCTGCTCTGTAGGTTAGAAGCTAAGCCAGGTCTAGTGCACCACATGGAGGGGCCAGAAAAAAACCAAACCCGTTGCTGTTGAGTCAGTTCTGACTCATGGCAACTCCATGTGTTACAGAGTAGAACTATTCCATAGGGTTTTCTTGGCTGTCATCTTTAAGGAAGCAGATCTCCAAGTCTTTCTTCTGTGGTGCTGCTAGGTGGGTTTGAACTGCCAACCTTTCAGTTAGTAGCCAAGAACAAACCATTGGTGCCACCCAGGGACATTGAAAGGGCCAGGGCCAGAAGCTCAGCCAATTCCAGCTGCCAAACACAGACCTTGGTTTATCTTGGATATTGGCAGGTGGATTAACATGATTGTCTCCCCTTCCCTTGCTCCAGGATCGTTCTCAGAGGACAAGAGATCATCAACTCTGTTGTTCCCAATTCAAACAGCATCTTCAACTTCCAGAAAGCTTATGGGTTGGCTGAAGAGGAGGTAAGGCTGCCATCTTGTCTTTCTATGCTACTGTCTTGGGAAGATGGATTGATGTCACCCTGTGAGGTCACCAGTGAAAGCACAACACTGGGCCATTGGACCTCAAGTGTCAATGCCTATGATTCGGTGGTTTGAGCACCTGCCTGCATTTCTAATTGAGTTGGTCCAGGGATAATGCTCACCAGTGTGTGTACCACTGGGTGACTTTGAAAGATTTTGGTGATATCTTTTCTCTCTTAACCTGAATTTGTTCATCACTAAAATGAGAGTATTTGGCCCATAAGTAATCCCCAGGCATCTCCTAATTCCCAAAGCTTTCTCCCTTTTCTCCGTGTAGGCCCTGGATGTCAGCGACCACTTTCCGGTTGAATTTAAACTACAGTCTTCAAGTGCGGTAACCAATAGCAAAAAATCAGTGTCTCCAAAAAAGAAAAAAAAGGCCAAAAGCTCCTAGATACAACAGCACCATTTTACTACCCATTTCCTGCCTCTGAATAAACAGCTTTAACAAATATGAACTGCTCCCTGCACGCGGGAAAAAGACTGGCCCACCTGCTTTCATTTTTCTACTTGAATTTAATCCTACTTGAACCAAACTGGGAGAAGAGTCTTTTATCAGCCCTCCCAGGGCCAGTACCTCCCCTGAATTGTCCAAAAGGAAACCCAGTGGGTACTTTCCAGTCCAAAAGGACGGTCTTCACGCCCTGAGGTAGAGTCCCGCCAGCTGTCACTGCCACTGTCAGGCCCACCGCTCAACCCTGCCCTTAGAGGCTGCAGGAGGAAGAAGCACTTCTGCTTTCTGTCTTCACAAGTGGATCCTGTTCTACCAGAAATAACCAGAGACGCCAAGGCCCCAACAACACCCCAATGATTTGGGGGTCACTAACTGTTTTAGGGATCTGCATCCTTATGTCTGAAGTCAGATCCCATCATGCCTCACAGGATGAAAGATGATGACCACTCCCACCAGCCTTCCTCTGAATCGTCCTCCTCCACCTCAGCCACCCCAGTAACAACCAGTGTCATCCTCTGAAATACTGTTCTGACCACATCCTACCCCATCCCCACCCTCTGCTTATAAATCCTGCAGGAGCTCCCATCCCAGCCCGGATGGAGCCCACAAGGTCTCTGTCACTGGGTGTCTCAGTCTGCCTCCCCTCCCGCCAGGCTCCCACCTTGCACTTCATGTTCCAGCGGGACTTCGTCTTCCTACACACCCCATGTCATCCCTCCCTCCGGGCTTTGGCTGTCCCATGTACCGCACCCCATCCTAGAAGCCTGAGTGAGGTACTCCTCGGCCCCCACATACGCCATTCCTCTATTGTCGCATACCCCACACCACGGCCAGTATTAGGGCCCCTTCGGGTCCCCTGCGACAGAAGCCCAGCTGGCTGGCAGGGACTCAGAGATTTTGTTATGTTTCTGCAACCAAAGAGACTTGTGGAAGACCAGCAACAGGGCACCGTTTTACCTGTATCCAAGGTGCCCATTTTGTTTTGCTGTTTTACCTTATACTGTTTCTTTGTTTGAGTTGTCCATGAACATGGCAAAATATGCAAGCAATTAGCAGTTCAAACCCACCTCGAGGCACTTTGGAAGAAAGGCCTGGTGATCCGTTTACAAAAGGTCACAGCCTTGAAAACCCTGTGGAGCAGTTCTACTCCACACACACGGGGTCACCATGAGTCAGAATTGACTGGACGGCAACTTGTTTGGTTTTGATTTGTTTAACAAAGAATAAGCAGGCGAAAGGAGTGCCATACTCTGGCCTCATCTCCTAGTTTCCTTTTTCATAAGCAACCCCTCTCACCAGTTTATGTAATCTTCCAGAGAGTCTATGCATAAATAAGCACCATATGTAACCTTAACCAATAAAGTATAGCCTACCATACGCACGGTTCCAACCCTCACTTATTTATCTTACTATTTCTCGGACGATGTGACTTTTGATACAAGGAAAAGAGACCATCAACTTGGTTTTTAAGATTATGTAGCATCTGACTGAGGGAAGAAAATCAAAAGCAGGACCCTGCTTAAGCAGGAGGAAACCATCTTCCTCAGGCATCCAGCTCACCTCGGGGGTCTTGTTGAGGGCAGGGAGGAGGGTATCAAGGCTGCTGAGACTCCTCCTGCCACCTCCTCTCCTGAGGCCCGGCTCACTGTCCCAGGAAAACTTCCGGCTTCCAAGGTCCAAAGTGGTCAAGCATGTAGTTTACAAATGAGCTTATTCTGGAAGGGGAGGACCATCCTTCTGCTCCCGTGTGCAAAGCTCCGTGGCTGGTGTGGCTGGGATGAGAGCCCTGGCCGCTGGGCTTGGGACCGTGTGCTGGATAGAAGGCAAGGAAAGCTGGACAAGACGCTGAATGAGCTGGTCGTGGCTCTGACCTGCTCCTGCCACCCCACAGCTTCCTTGGCAATGGCACATTCCACTGTTCAGGGGACAGGTGACCGGAGGGACAGGCATCTGCCAGCCCTCATTCTGGGCAAAGTCTGCCAGCGAGGGGGAACAGAGCTGGTCTTCTCACTGTCCACAGCGCAATGGAGTCGCAGACATCCTGTCATCCCTCGGGGTCACTTGGCCTGGCTGGAGCAAGGAATTCCTGTGACCTTTGGGGAATGGATATGTACCCTGGCCATGTGCACCCTGTCAGCCTTGACAGGGCCCCAGAGATGCTTTGTCCACAGTGACTCAAACTTAGTGTGCACTAGAATCCCAGGGAACCAGTTAACATGCAGATCCCCAAGCTCCAGGCCCCCAGAGTCTGTCTTAGGGGTTTTGGGGTGAAGCCCAAGAACCTGCATTTTTAACAAGCCCCTCCCCGCCCCAGGTGATTCCAATGCAAGTGATCTGAGGACCACATTTTGAAAACACTCTCCTGTTCCTCCTTATCCATGATTATGAATAACATTGTGAAGAATGGGAATTCCAGAACACTTAATTGTGCTCCTGAAGAACCTGTACTCAGACCAAGAGGCAATCGTTTGAACACAACAAGGGGATACTAAGTGGTTTAAAATCAGGAAAAGTGTGCATCAGGGTTGTATCCTTTCACCATACTGATTCAGTCTGGGTGCTGAGCAAATACTACGAGAAGCTGGACTATATGAAGAATTGGAGGAAGACTCATTAACAACCAGCGACATGTAGATAACACAACCTTGCTTGCTGGAAGTGAAGATCTGAAGCACTTATTGATAAAGATCAATAAATGGAGAAAAGATTGAAGTCATCAAGGATTTCATTTTACTTGGATCCACAATCAACACCCATGGAAACAACAGTCAAGAAATCAAATGATGTATTGCACTGGGCAAATCTGCTGCAAAAGACCTCTCTAAAGTGTTAAAAAAAGCAAGGATGTCACTTTGGGGACTAAGGTGCACCTGACCCAATCCATGGTATTTTCAATTGCTTCATATGCATGTGAAAACTGGATAATGAATAAGGGAGACCAAAGAAGAATTGACGCCTTTGAATTATGGTGTTGACAAAGAATATTGAATATACCATAGACAGCCAGAAGAATGAACAAATCTGTCTTGGAAGAAGTACAGCCAGAAGGCTCCTGTCATGGATTGAATTGTGTCCCCCAAAAAATATGTATGTCAACTTGGCTAGGTCATGATTCCCAGTATTGTATGATTGTGTAAATCTGATGTGATTTCCTTAAGTGTTGTAAACTCTATCACTATGATGAGGTTATACTGATGAGGTCTACAAGATTGGATAGTGTCTTAAGCCAATCTCTTTTGAGATATAAAAGAAAGAAGCGAGCAGAGACACATGGGAACCTCATACCCCCAAGAAAGCAGTGCCGGGAGCACAGCGCATCTTTTAGACCTGAGGTTCCTGCACAGAGAAGCTCCCAGACCAAGGGAAGACTGATGCATCACAAGGACCTTTCCAGAGCCAACAGAGAGAGAAAGACTTCCCCTGGAGGGGATGCCTTGAATTTGGACTTGTAGCCTACCTGGACTGTGAGAGAATAAACTTTTCTTTGTCAAAGCCATCCACTTGTGGTATTTCTGTTGGAGCAGCACTAGATGACTAAGACAGCTCCTTAGAAGCAAGGATGGCGAGACTATGTCTCACATATTTTAGACATGTTATCAGGAGGGATCAGTCCCTGGAGAAGGACAGCAAGCTTGGTAAAGTAGAGGGTCAGTAAAAGACAGGAGGACCCTCAATGAGATGGATTTGACACAGTGGCTGCAACAATGGGCTCAAGCATAACAAGAATTGTGAGGATGGCTCAGAACCGGCCAATGTTTCGTTCTATTGTACATAGGATTGTTACGAGTCTGACTCAGCAGCACCTAACAACAACTGCTATTCCTCCTTAAGTATAAAGAGACAGGCTGGCTTTGGAGCCACATTCTGTACCCCCTACTAGCTGTGAGACGTTGAGCAGATTACTTATCTTCAGTTTCCTGATCTGTAAAATGGGGACAATAAACAAATCAGCTCATAGGTAGCATTTAAATTAACTAACGAACATAAAATTCTGAGCACCTAGTAAGCACTCAATAAATGGAAGCTATATTTTTATTAGCAGGACTTGTGTGGTCAAAGGGTAGGCCACTTAAGTCTTTGGGTACATATTGCTCTCATTTAGAATGAATTTTTGCCAAAGTTCCATTTCTTTATCACTCACCGCAGCCAAGTATTTTGGCAAGTGAGCCTAGAGAAATGAAGATGCCTCTGCTTCCAGCAATTGTTATTTCTTCTTCCGTGCCCATACGCCTTTCTTGCCTTGAACACAGAAACACCTCCCTGGTGCTCTTCACCCTGTCCCTGCTGGGGTGGAGGGGGCTTCTCCAGTTCAGCCACGCTGGGAACCAATAAAATGTGACAAAATGGGGGCCATGTCCCTCGTTCCTCCTGGAAGGAGAAAAGGCACCTGGCCCAGGCGGGTATGTGGGTGGAAGTAGAGCTGCTGATAAGCTCAGAATTGCAACAGCTGCCAAGTCTCCCCATCAGGCACCCGAATGGTCCCAAGGCAGAGGCCACAATGAGAGCCAGCGTTCCTGTGTCACTTACGCACAGGCCACACCTGGCCCCATGGCTTCAAGCTCTGGATTCAGAAATGCTACTGAAATTAAGTAAAACTAAAAGAATTTCAAGAGAACAAGGATGCATGCATGAGAACATGAGTGCGTGCACACACATATTCACACGCACGTCCACTCAACTCTTCTGTGAAAGGGGTTGAGAAACAGTGAGTGCCCAGGATGGGACAACAGCCGAATGGTTGCTTGGTTTCCTAAGTCTCCAAATGCGTGAAACAAAGCTGCAGACAAAAACCAGATTTCGTGGGGCCAAGGGCAAAGGGGGCTGGGCTGCCCTGGTCCAGTCACCAACTCTTGTTTGGTGACTTTGGTCCACTGCTTCCACTCTTGTCCCCTCCAATCTGATCTCCTCCCAGCAACCAGAGGGAGCTTTCTAAAATGCAAATCCCATCCCCCTCATCAAATCTCTTCACCTGCCTAAAACCCTCAATGGCCCCCCATTTC